CCCCCCCTCCCTCTCCCCCTCTTTTTACCAAATTTCGATTGCCCTTTTTTGTAGTAATGAATGCTGTATTGGACGGACTTATCTATGCGTCCATCGTCAAGTACGTAGTGTCTCTTCAGTTTTCGATAGGCCACATCTCTTGTATACATTTGACTTCTATTTTTTCCCCCTCTTTTTTTCATTTTCGAAAATAAGGGAAACAACTTGAAAAGGAAGGGATTTAGTGCCACGGTTTCACCATATGCACAGCAATTATTGTTGCCATCAGGATGGACTGGAGAAAAAAAAAAAAAAAAAAGGATGGAAGCAATTACGGTGTGGCCGTACGCACGACAGTTCTCTTGGATTTGTTGTTTAACCTGTTATGGGTGTTTTCTACCCAGAAGGACAACTTTGGGTAGTACGTACGGCCGCACCAGTCGTGCAACGTACTACCTTCGGTTGGGCCATATACTGCGCATGGGAGTTACAACGTATATGGCCCGTACGTACTACCCAAATTCAGACGGAAATTTGGGTAACTCCCATGTGTGGCCATGTGCTTCCTGCCCCCCCCATCCAGACCCCTCCGTCTCTGTGGCATACTGCGCAGCCACACGGGCCTGCAAGGCCCGACCAGATGGAAATTCAGCGCCCTACAAGCCCCGTGTCATTTCAGCCTAAAAGCCTGAAAACAAGTGCCTACAGGCCCTGTGTCGTTTCAGCCTAAAAGCCTGAAAACGAGCGCCTACAGGCCCTGTGTCGTTTCAGCCTAAAAGCCTGAAAACGAGGGCCATTTTCAGGCCCTCATAACATCGACCTGCCCTGAAACTTAGGCACCAGACCAGGGTTTTAGCACAGGCCATTTTGGTCCTGTTTTCAAGACAACCTTTGTTTGAACTTCAACGCCATTTTGGGTCTGGCATGTTTTGGCATTGGCAAGAGCAGCCTCCTGGACGTACCAGCACTATACAGGACTGGCCCGCCCTGCAGGCTGCAGGTAGTTCATAGGGACTCCCCAGGCACTTCACGTGCAGTTCAGGAGGCAGGAGGTAGTCTTCAGGATTTGGCAGCAGCACTCTGGAGGAGCGCTGCAATAATAGTAGTAGCGTTAGCAGTAGTCTTCAGCACTGGGCGCTAGTAGGAGCTAGAGTAGCATTGGAGAGAGAGAGATGGTTGGCGGAGGCCAGGGAGACTTACCTGTGGTGCCATAGGTCCAGCTTCGTCTTCGATGTACCTGCAACACGGCGCCACCTTCACAGGTTAGTACCGGACTGAGAGAGAGAGAGAGAGAGAGAGTTCTTCTTCTAACTCCACCATCTCTCCCTCGCCCTCTTGCTACCT